CTATCAAGCTGATAGCCATGGCTCTCTTCCTTGAATTTTATCACAACCACCGTGATACCGAGATCAGGATCTGCTTTATACACCCTCCTGTAATTAATTATAACCAGTGGTGAAATTCAGATTTATTTACTACCGGTTCTGTGGGCGTGGCTTAGTGAGTGTGGTGTGGCTTGGTGGGCGTAGCTTGGTGGGCGTCGCAGGGGAAGAATACTGCAAAATCCCCATTCCCTCCCCACTCCTGGGGGAAGGATATTGCAAAATCTCCTTTCCCACCCCCCTCTGAGGCCAGCCAGAGGTGGTATTTGCCAGTTCTCCGAAGTACTCAAAATTTCCGCTACCGGTTCTCTGAACTACTCAAAATTTCCGCTACTGGTTCTCCGAACTACTCAAAATTTCCGCTACTGGTTCTCCGAATTATTCAAAATTTCTGCTACCGATTCTCCAAAACTTGTCAGAACCTGCTGGATTTCACCTGATTCACACAATGTAGTTAGTACAAACCAGACATGAAGAAATTGGCCTCCTAAAACTGCCTTTGCCCTCCCCCCCACAAGTCTTGGGGACACCACTGCTTTTTCCCGGTTTATCCCTCTTGGCATGAAAGAAGGAAATTCTTAACACAGCGGGTGGCAATGACATTAACTGTATTTAATTGAAATTAATTTTAGTTACATTTCAAGGTCAGTTAAATCAAATTTGGCTTTTGTCTGGATGCCCACCTACGTCTTGGAACGCAGATACGCCATCAGAACATTTTTTAAAAGGACAAATACGATGTGCCATACAAAAATAAGAGCACACTGGTTTTGTAAACTATGACGACGTTCGCATGCTTGGTTAAAGTCAAGCAAATTATCCAAACACTTTGTGCAAATATCCCAATTCAGTCAATAATTTAACCACCCAGCCAGTGGAACAATTAAGAACTCATATAATGGAACTAGCTAACACCCATCAAATCCCGCCCGTTTTTCCATGCCCACTAATTCATTTTTACCTGTGAGTAAATCTTTTGTAATTAATGTTATAGGTAGTCCTCGGCGTACAACAGTTCATTTTAGTGACCATTCAAAGTTACGACGGCACTGAAAAAACGTGACTTTTGACCATTTTTCACACTTATGATCATTGCATAAGTGCTCAGGTGATCAAAATTCAGACGCTGGGCAAGTGACTCACATTTATGACAGTTGAAGTGTCCCGGGATCACATGATCCCCTTTTTGTGACAAGCCAGGGAAGCCAGATTCACTTAACAATTGTATGACTAAACAACTGCATTGGCTCACTTAACGGTGGTAAAGGTCGGTCATAAAATGGGGCAAAGCTCACTTTAGCAACGGTCTCACTTAACAAGAAATTTGGGGCTCCATTGTGGTCGTAAGAAGGACTATCTGTACTCCGCTACAACGTCTACCATAGAGATCGCAGCAATGCTTAGTTTTTCAGCTCAAGACGCCAGAAAGGCGAATTAAATTCAACACAACTTGGCTCTCACTTGCGATAAACTCAAAAGTTTATTTTGCCAACTCGATGCAAATTCAGGTCAGCAAGTCGTTACCTGTCAGTTTTCTGCCCCGACGTTATTAAAACATCATGTTTTTGATATGGAAATCAAGAGGGAGAGAAAAATGCTTGTACAAGCAGGTTGGGAAGCGCCAGTTGTGTTTCTGGGTCAATCCTTTTGCTATACTTTTTAAGATGACAGAAATTCAGCCTGGGTAAATATTCCGTTACACAAACACATTATTCTTTTGAGCATCAGAGCAAGAGACAATTTACATTCTGGTTGAAATTGACTGTGTCATTAATTCAAGAACTCCGGCCCAGGGCATTTGGCAATTAAAAATGAAAACTGGGTTATCACCTCCACGGCAGGAGTCTGCAAACATATTAAACAGTGATAAATGACCTGTAAATTAAAATGTTAAAATGCAGGCAGGAGAAAGGGCCAGAAAATTACCCTTTCTTTGATTTATGTGAAGGTGGAACAGCGAACAAAATATATACTAAGGTACAAAAGAACCTTGCCGTCGATATTTGGAGAAAAATATTCACTCTCAGAAAACAGCTCCCTTCTATGCAGAGATTCCATTTCCGAACATCTGCATTTGTTTCCAACAACTTCCAAATGTTGTCAGGTCTGGAGTTGATCCTGAAGATTCGACTGTTTGAAAAAAAAGCCAAAATGGCACCAGCACATACACACACATGCCTCTTACCCGGCTTCAAAAGCCAAAGTAAGTAAACAAATATTATCGAAATAAGATCTTGTAGTGACAATGAAATCAGTTCACGAGGACTTTTGAAAACAAAAGAACTTGACCCTGCCAGAAGCATCTCCAACCCAGCTGGATCTGCCTATTCAACAAACCCTGGTTTAAAGGAAACCAGGTCTGTATCTATTGACTAATTACACAGGATCTTTCAAGATCAGGGAAGAAAGACAATACGATCTTGAGCACAAAAATCTGTGCAAAACATCTCTCTAGATTTATCCATCATTGGTGTTAAGGCGAAGCATCAATCTTCTCAACTTTGTGATGGCTGGGGTCTGTCCTTAGTACTTTGTGGGTGACATGTGCAGAGATGTGGGGTTTTTTTTTTTTGTGTGTGTGGGTGTTGGAAGGAATTGGGTTTTTCAATAGACAAACACACACACACTTCACACAACCATTAGTAATTTCCCAGTTCTGTGTAGCAGGGAAACACGTCCCCAGTTTGTGGGAAATTCAATCAGAGATGGAGCTTTGGGAGCATGGATGGAGGATCCAAGTGCCCTCTCCCCATCTTATGGCTTGTACTATAAACTGTGGGTGCACCTCTGCTTTTTCTCACAGCTTCCTGTCACAGCTGGACTCAAATTGTTTTGGATTTCCTTTCCCATTGGTGCTTTTTCCAAAAGGCAACTGGTTTTTCTAGGTTTCTCTTTTCTTTGAAAATGTTTCACTTCTCATCCAAGAAGCTTCTTCGGTTCTTCTTTTTCTGGACTGAAGAAGCTTCTTGCATGAGAAGCGAAACTTTTTCATAGAAAAAAACAAACCAAGGAAGTCCAGTGGGGTTGCCACAAAGAAGAGGGAGTCAAGCTATCCTCCAAAGCACCTGAGGGTAGGACAAGCAATGGGAGGAAACTAATAAAGGAGAGAAGCAACTTAGAACTGAGGAGAATTTGTCTGAAATGGTATAGGGCAGTGATGGCTAACCTTTTTGCCATCGTGTGCCAAAAGCGGGGGGAGTGCAGGGGGGGGGGTCGCACCGTGTGCCCACACCCATAATTCAGTGCACCCCGCTCCCCCCGTGCAGGCACATGTGACACCCCTGCGCCCCCCGCTTTTGGCACGCGATGGCACGCTGGGCCCAGTAGGCCCGTTTTTCACCCTCTCCAGGCTCCAGAGGCTTATTTGGAGCCTGGGGAGGGCGAAAACAGCCTTCCCTGGCCCTTCGGAGGCCAGAAATGGCCCGTTTGCCGACTCTGGTGGGACTGGAAGGCACATTCTTTGCTCTCCCCAGCATCCAGAGCCTTTCTAGGAGCCTGGGGAGGGCAAAAATGCCACCCCCCTGGAGGCCCTCCAGAGGCCGGAAATAGCCTTCCAGTGGCACCGGAAGGCCCGAAAATCAGCTGAGCTAGGGCAACACTCGTGTGCCCACCGATATGGCTCTGCGTGCCACCTATGGCACGCATGCCACAGGTTCGCCACCACGGGTATAGGGTCTCCTGCCTGAGCAGGGGATTGGACTAGAAGACCCCCAAGGTCCCTTCCAACTCTGTTATTCTATTCTATTTCTTTCGGAAAAAGCACCTTTGGGACAACCATGACATGGATGATGGAGAATCTCCATAGATGTTTCTCATCATCTCTTCACCAGCAGGAATTGTTTGCAGGGAAGATGATCAACATAAGTCAAGTTACGGGACACTACCCTGAGACTGAGGCCTTGCCCCCATTTTAACAGGCATTTGGGCCTCTGCAAATTCCCATTGCCAGCTGGAAAGAAACGAAAGGATCAGAGAGAAATGGCTCATGGTCCACTTGTAAATTAAACCCCATCACACTCTTAACTGGTGACATGACTTGTTCCTGCATCTTTGCTTGGCGTGATTTATAGCCTGAAATAAGGAAAAAAAATAATCAAGAGAAGTTGCTTGCTTGGAAGAGCTTCTGATTTACCAAAACTGAACCTGGGTATGGTCTTCCATGGCCAGACACGGACCTCTTACCCATTAAGGAGAAATTTCTTGACAGTGAGAACTATCAACTGATGAAACAGAAGTTGCCTTTGGAATTTGTGGGAGCTTCATCACTGGAAGCTTTCAAGAAAAGACTGGACTGCCATCGGTCAGATATGGTGTAGGGTCTCCTGCTTGTGGGGGTGGGGTTGGACTAGATGACCTACAAGGTCCCTTCCAACTCTGTTAATTAACCCTTGAAAAAAAAATCACACAGGAGATGCAGAAGCCGTCGATCTTCTGGAGAAAAGGAATTTGGGGGGCAAACAGCTTCAGGGTTATGATTATTTGCAAAGGGAAAAGGCAAACCAACTTACAGGCGAGTTTTAAGTGCTTCAAGAAAATGGCAAAGAGAAGAGAAGCAACCCACAGTAATTCAAACCCTTTTCCGTTATTTCTTTTCTTCCATGACGTTCATCGGAGGTGCATTTTTTTTTTTAAGTCTCAAAGGGCTGCTGAAGTCAGATGAAAGAAGGAAGCCTGCAATTCTTTATAAATATTAACAACTCTTTTGATTTAATTTTGTCTTACTGGAGCCCTCTGAACTCGTGTTCCGTTTCACCTGTGAAAGTGGATTCTGTTCCATTCCACCTTTAATTTTGCATCCGTCCTTATCTGGGGCGGTCCCAAACCTGCCGTTAAAAGAGATCTCCGCTAGATCTTACCAGCTTGCAAAACTTACCAGAGGAAAACGGTAATCTTTCTATCTTGTTCATCGCACACACAAAAAAATCCTACGCTTTGAAGTGAGACGAAGGGATTGGGTGACCTGACACGTTGATGGTTACTGATTTATTACGGTTCTTTTTTTTTTTTTTTTATTCTGCCTTTCCTCCAAGCTCAAGGTGGCATACATAGCTCTCCTCACCCCTCCCCTTTGTCCTCACAACAACCCTGTGAGGTAGGTTTAGGCTGAAACAAAACAACGGCTGGTCCAAGGTTTTACCCAGGGAAGTTTCATGCTTTTTAAACCTGGTGTCTCTCTAGACGAAAGTCCAACGCTCGGACCGTAACATAACAAGAGTGCTCCGGGAAACTGTCCTTAAAGGTTAAAAATGTTAAAAAAATTCTATTCCTTCTCTGTCAAAAATCAACAGGAATGAAATTAAGGAACCCACGTGGTTCTTTTACAAGCCTGCAGGTGTGACAATTCTTAAAAAGATCCACAAATTTCGGACCTTTTTTTTTTATCACAATTGGCTCTTTTCATTCAACAGACAATGATTGAAATAAACTTTTATCTCTTTCTCCAAAAGGCACCTGTGGAGCCAAGTGCTGTCTAGGTCAGCCATCCCAATGAGGTAGGCTGGGACTGCAATTCCCAGAATCCCGCCATCTGTCCAATAGGCTGAGAATTCTGGGAAGTTTAGGCTTCAAATTCATTAGGAAGCCATCTAAGTGGGATAAACTAATTTTACTGTGCTCTGGGATCAAGATTTTGGGTAGGGGCGTGACTCCCCATTGTCAGAAGGTGAACTGGGCTGCAGGTAGGTAATACAAAGGAAATATAAACACATATCTGCCGTTTTAGGTGGCAGTTACCGAAGTATGATATTGCTTTGCAAGTAATTTTTCTTTCTTTCTTTTTTTTCTTTTTTTTTTGCAAATAATTTTTCATAAATTGGAGTTCTGAGATACAAAATGGATGCACTTCTCTTCCTCGGAGAGTGGGGGAAAAAAATAATAATAAACCTGTTTTTGAGGTCAGACGTTCCCACCTGAAGTTCGTGCCTCCGTCCTGCCATTTAAGTACGCTCGCACATAAACTACCATGCGTAAAAGGAAAAACAAGGAAGGGATGAAAATTAAGGAAGGCGAGGAGCGAGAGAGAAAAATATCCCAAACAATCAAAACGGTCTGTGTCTCTTTTTTTTTTTAAATCTCGAAAGAAAGAAAAAAAGAAAGAAAAGAGGACATCTCTGAAGTGAAAAACAGGAGCAAATTCATTCCTTGGGTCCAGAAAGATTGAAATTTTTTTTGCCCAATTCATTTGGCACCTCGACAATCTTGACAAACGCTGGCCCGTCCTTCCAAATGTTCAAAAGTTGATTAAAAAAAAAAAAAAAAAAAAAAGGGGAAAAAAAAAACAACCACTGAAATGATCCAGGTGTTAATAGCTGCAGAAAAGAAAAGATTTCTGCTGGGGTGGGGAAGGGGAGAGAAAAAAAAAAGGGATTTTTCTCCCACGGCGCCTCGGGTGCCTTTCTTAACTTCCCGCGGCCTCATTCTCCGGCGGATTGTCCCGAAGGGGCTGTGGAGGTGATGACACCAGTTTGCAAGGCCGCGACCGCTCTAGGGTCTTCGATTCGGGGTCGTTTGATATCGGGTTCTCTCAAATGCTCATCAGAATCTTTCACCCCGGCTTCTCTTGACTGGCTGATGACCACGGGGGTGGAGGAACTAGCTTGAGCTGCAAGTACTTGCAAGGGGTTGGAGAGGGCTGGAGTCGGGGGGGAAAAAACGAGAGAGAGAGAGAAAGGATTTTAGAAAAACTCACAGCGTCTGTTTGGATGAAAGGTAAAGATTTCCCGTTCAGTCATCTCCGACTGAGGGTGGTTTTATCTAGGCTTCCCCAGCAGCACAAAGCCGAGTCCTAGTCCCGATAAACCCCTTTTATTTAATTTACAGGGAATTCCTCTCCAGCAAAGTCTTTCGTCTCCCACCGTCTTTCAAGATCGCTCACAATTACCGACCTTTATCAGGCTTGGAGAGTGGCCAGGCTGATATCTTTCAGACGCCCGCAATACTTGGCAAGAATGCAGGAATGAACTAATTGTCTCCTGCAAACTCCACTCCCTTTTTGCTTCCCTGTTATTCCTTCTGGGAGGGGCCCTTCATCGTCCACCTGTGGCCTTACTCCCTAGTCGACCCTTGTTCTTTAGCTGTTCCCTTCGTCTGGCAACTCTGTGCATGCACACACTGGGAACAGGCCCCAGCTGTTCATCTGCCTCACTGATGTCTGACTCTGAAGGCAGTTGATAACTGGCAGACGGCCCTGACCCCATCTCTGCCTCTGACGCAGAGCCCTCATCAGAGCCATCCCGAGACTCCAGGACTGGTCCATTTTCCTCCCCAACCTCCTCATTGTCCGAATCTGTTGCCAGCTCTGGCGGGCCACAACAGAGACGGTTACTCCATCTCTGCGATCATGTGACTGCATTTCGGGCAACCTGCATTTATATCCACTTGTGATGTCCCGCGATTATGTGATCGCGGTGACCCCGCCACCCTCAAAATTCATTTTATTTTATTTTACGAGGCAGAGTAAGCTCGCTTTTGGAGAAAGATTCTAAAAGCACGCAAACCCTGAGAGAACAAAGGAGAAATGTTATGTATACCGTAAGTCCCACCGCTTAAGCTGTTTGTGGGAATGGCATGCTTTCCGTTTTGGGTCACCGTGCGGACAGGTAACTGGTGCTGTCCGAGGGCCATGGGAGTGGCCGGCTGCAGGATGGTGACCGTCTGTCCGGGGATGCCCTGACCCATTTGGCTGGCCACCGTCTGGATGACACGACTGGCGGTCGGTATGGCAGCAAAGGCGATGGTGGGCTTCTCGTCCAACCCTACAGGGAGAGAAGAGAGATTCTATTGATTGATTGATTTGTATCCTGCCTTTATTATTTTGACAATTTAACTCAAGGCAGCAAACATATCCAACATACCTTCTTCCTTCTCCTATTTTCCCTACAACAACCACCTTGTGAGGTCGGTTGGGTTGAGAGAGGGGGACTGGCCCAAAGTCATCTAACTGGTTTTCATGACTAAGGCAGGACTAGAAATCACTGCCGCCTGGTGATTGGCCCAAAGTCACCCAGCTGGCTTTCATGACTAAGGTGGGACTAGAACTCACCGTCGCCTGGTGATTGGCCCAAAAGTCACTCAGCTGGCTTTTATGACTAAGGTGGGACTAGAACTCACTGTCGCCTGGTGAGTGTCCCAAAGTCACCCAGCTGGCTTTCATGACTAAGGTGGGACTAGAACTCACTGCCGCCTGTCGATTGGCCCAAGGTCACCAAGTTGGCTTTCATGACTAAGGTCAGACTAGAACTCACCGTCGCCTGGTGAGCGGCCCAAAGTGATCCAGCTGACTTTCATGGCTAAGGCAAGACTAGATCTTTGCCATTCTGGGGACATTCTGGGGGAGAAGATACTCCCCCGAGGCTTACCAGCCAAGTCCAGGACGGCCCCTGCCGCGTCGTGGGTGCTCCCAGCTGGCCCCTGGTTGGTCAGGATGTAGCCATTTGCTGAGCTTGCCGAAGTCGTCACCACTCGGACCATTGTAACAGTGGGGGCTTGCTGAACGACGTGAACCGCGTGTCCCGAAGGCTGCTGAGAGGTCATGATGGAGGCGGGCAGGTAAGCGACTGGCTTGGCCACCAGCGCAGAAGGCCTGGGAGGAACTGCCATGATCACCGGCTGGGCACTTACGGGGGATCCTGAGAGAGAGACCGAGGGAGAGGGAGGGAAGGAGGAAGAAAGGGAGAGGAAGAGGGAAAAGGAAGGAAGGGAGGAAGGAAGAAATGGAGGGGAAGAGGGAAAAGGAAGAGAGGGAGAGAGGAAGAAAGGGAGAGGAAGAGGAAGAGGGAAAAGGAAGGAAGGGAGGAAGGAAGAAACGGAGTGGAATAGGGAAAAGGAAGGAAGGGAGGGAGGGAAGGAGGGAGGAAGAAAGGAAGGGAGGGAGGAAGAAAGGGAGAGGAAGAGGGAAAAGGAAGAGAGGGAGGGAGGGAAGGAGGGAGGAAGGAAGAAAGGGAGAGGAAGAGGGAAAGGAAGGAAGGGAGGGAGGGAGGGAGGAAGAAAGGGAGAGGAAGAGGGAAAAGGAAGGGAAGGAGGGAGGGAGGAAGAAAGGGAGAGGAAGAGGGAAAAGGAAGGGAGGGAGGGAGGAGGAAGGCTCAAAGGGATGGAACAAGGAAGGAGAAGAGGAAGAGGAAGAGGGAGGGAAGAAGAAGAGACCCATCATTGGCTAGAACAGGAGATTCGAATCCAGCATTCCCGAATAAAGCTAAACAAATTTCGAGAATAACACTCCGCTAAAAACCAAGAACCAGTTTCTCCAAACTTGACAATTCTCAACGTTGTCCATGTGAAAAAGCCGGGACACTCCCTTGCTCATGATACTCTTTTGGGGTAATTTTCACGAGATATTCCTAACGTTTGTTTGCTATCTTGAGCCCACATCCAGGAGACTAACAGGGTGGCAGAAACTCTGGGTAGAGCCCACCGCTCCACCGGAGACTGCCAGCTGCCACTTTACGTTTGTTTGTGGACTTCACTACCATGCAGTGATAGTCTGCTATGAACTCTGGGGAACGTGTATGGGAGGGGAATGCTTGTGGGGAAAGCGAAAGTAACTGCTGTATCTTCCTGAGATGCTGCTTCAAGGTCAGCTGGGAGAAGAAGGCAGCTGCATACCAACCTACTGTTCTGAAAATATAATGCTTGAGCCTGATTGGTCATTTTGTGTGTGTGTGTGTGTGTGTGTGTGTGTGTGTGTGTGTGTGTGTGTGTGTGTGTGTTCTGTGATGTAAGGCAGTTAGAGGGAGGAAAAAGTTGAGTAACTGTTTCCTCCCTTAACTTTCGGCGTGTGATTCTCAGTTCTGGCTATGCATTATCGCAACACGCTTGCCTGTGAATAAAATTATACTTTTCTCAACAAATGTAGCCAAGGATCATTTCTATTTACAGCAGAGGTGGACTGCTGGGGGTTCGCGAGAACCCCTAGCTAAGATTCTGTGCTGTTCGGAGAACCCCCAAATCCCACTCCTGGCTGGCCCCTCCCCTCCCAGGAGTCCCCACACTGCATCCCCGTTTTGGATGGAGGTAAGTGAAGGGCGCGTGTGGAGGCTCAGGGAGGGCGAAAAACGGGCCTACCGGAAGTTTGGGAAGGCCGGAAACAGGGCCATTTCTGGCCTCCAGAGGGCCTCCGGAGCCTGGGGAGGTTGTTTTTGTCCTCCCAGAGGCTTGAAGAAAGCCTCCAGAGTTCAGGGAGGGTAAAAATGCCCTCCCACCGTGGTGCAGGAGGCCTAGGCCACGCCCATGCCCACCCAGCAACCCCTTGCTAAAATTTTTGAAGCCCACCCCCGGGTTTAAGTGCTGGCAGGTCTGACAGTGGCACCCTTACCAGGAGCACTTTGTGAATATCGATACTCGGGGACAGAAGCAAGCTTGGATCCAAAGTCGTGGTCATGAGGAATCGGGGAGCCTTCCCTCGACACACACTCTGGAGTCTGTAGGCCACTCGTGTGGGGAGAAAGCAGGCCGGGGTGAGTAGGGGATGGGGGTGCGCTCCTGGAAGAGAACAGAGAAAGGTCGAAATCAAACCCAGCGCTCTTTGCAAATTCAGTGTATTTCTTGTACAGGTAAGTCCTCGACTTACAACAATTCATTTAGTGATTCTGGGCTCAATTGTGGTCGTTAAGTCGAGGATTGCCTGTATTCATCCCCATCTCTTTTATTTGACTAAGCTGAGTAGCTAGTCCTCAGCAGCCCATCTTACAATTTACTGACCTTATTTTCACAACTGAGCAAAATGTAGCAAGCTCCCTTTTCCTCCAATATTGGAGAGTTTTGCCCCAAATTTGGCCTCAGACAGAAAACTGGAATTAATTATTGTTTCTATTGTTTGGTCTAAGTTTCAATTTTTAATTTTTTTTTAAACTTTAAAAATACAAAAAAAAAAAATCATCCTCTTGGCCAATTTTTCTAGAGTTAGGCAGTGGTGAGCATCATTTTTGGCTGTTACATTGAACTTACCGGGAAGAGAGAGGTCCAAACGGGGTTCGGAAGCAGGACACCCCCCTTTGCCTCCGTTTGCGGAATGCCTGCTCCACTAGCTTGCCTTCCGAGGGAGGGTCTATCCGCCAAAAAGAGCCTTTTCCCGGCTCTTCTTGAGAACGGGGGACTTTAATAAAGTATCGGTTCAAGGACAGGTTGTGCCGAATGGAATTCTGCAGGAGGAAAATGGGTAAGCCAAGATTTAGCTGTGGTGGCGCAATGGTTAGAGTGCAGTACTGCAGGCTCCTTCTGCTGACTGCCGGCTGCCTGCAATTTGGCAGTTCAAATCTCACCAGGCTCAAGGTTGACTCAGCCTTCTGTCCATCTGAGGTCGGTAAAATGAGGACCCAGAATATTGGGGGCAAGAGGCCGATTCTGTAAACCGCTTAGAGAGGGCTGTGAAGCACTGTGAATAAGTCTAAGTGCTACTGCTTTTTTCCTTCCTTTTTTTTCTTTCTCTCCCTCCCTTTTCTCCTTCCTTCCTTCCTTCCTTCCTTCCTTCCTTTAACCTTCCTTCCTTCCCTTAACCAACCTTCCTTCCTTCCTTCCTTCCTTCCTTCCTTCCTTCCTTCCTTCCTTCCTTCCTTCCTTCCTTCCTTCCTTCCTTCCTGAATATTGCAGGCTGACTCTGCCCACTGCCAGGAGTTCGATCCTAACCGGCTCAAGGTCATCTCAGCCTTCCATCCTTCCGAGGTCAGTAAAATGAGGATGCAAATTGTTGGGGGAAAATAGGATGACTCTGTAAACCGCTTAGAGAGAGCTGTAAGTCAAATGGCCAGCTCTGTCTGCAAGGAATATAAAGCTTTCCATTCCCCACTGTCCTGTCAGAGCTGAAGAAGCTTCTGGGAGGAGAAGCGAAACGTCTTCAAAAGAAAAAGAAAAACCCCAAGAAAACTTACCTGCCAACCTTTATCTGCTGTTCTGTAATACGGATAATGCTTTGTAATATGAGCATAGATGCCACTTAGTGTTAGTTGCTTGTCCTGAGCTGACGAGATAGCTTGAACAATAAGCTGGGCGTAGGAATACGGTGGCTTGGATTCATCCTGTGGATGAGAAAGACGCCAAGGGAGCTTTTTAGCAGCTTCGCAGAATATTAATAATTTAGGCCCGAGCTTGTCTAACAAGATCAGAGGCAACTAAACAGATGTTTTTCAAGGTAAAGGAAGGACTGAGGATTTAGAATTTAGAATAACAGAGTTGGAAGGGACCTTGGAGGTCTTCTAGTCCAACCCCCTGCCTAGGCAGGAAAACCTACACCACTTCAGACAAATGGTTATCCAACACCTTCTTAAAAACTTCCAGTGTTGGAGCATTCACAACTTCTGGAGGCAAATTTGTTCCACTGATTCATTGTTCTAACTGTCAGGAAATTTCTCCTTAGTTCTAGGTTGCTTCTCTCCTTGATTAGTTCCCCCCCATTGCTTCTTGTCCTGCCCTCAGGTGCTTTGGAGAATAAAATAAAATAATTTTAATTGGGTTATTTTAAATTGTGGCCGATGTTATTTAATATCTTTTAAACTGTTTTAATTTTTGTATGTTGTGTTTTTACTTTGGCTGTCCACCGCCCTGAGTCCTGCTGGAGAAGGGCGGTATAAAAATCAAATCAAATAAATAAATAAAATAAATAATAAAATAAAATAAAACAGATCACCCATTTTTCTGGGAAAAGCGTCCGCTTTTTCGATCTGCAAACCCACTCGAAATTCTTAGCCTCAAAACGCGCGTCCCAATAGCCAAAGGCAGGTTAAAAAGCCTGCCATTAACCTCCATTACCGCTACTCTGTTTTGCAAAGACTTTTTTTTTTTTTTTTGCAATAATCTGGGTGGACTTTTGGAGTTGCTAGCTAAGCCCCGGAGCACCGTGTCATACCAGACGAAATAGATTATTGATCCGCGCGCGCCGTTAACAGACTGCTCGAGAAATCTTGCCTAGGAATTTATTTCTCACGAGTCTGTCAGAGTGAAGCCAGCTCTGGATGTTAAAAGGAAGCGTTTCGGAGCTCAAATCCGACGGGGCTTTGAGGCTTCGCCACGCCTGTCTGAAAACATGCGAATGGGGGGCGGGGGCGGGTTGGAGAAGGCCGGTTTAAACGCCTTGACAATGCCAGGAAGTTCAACCGTTGGAACCCCAAATGATTTTGGAGTCAGGATGGCGCAATTGAGAATGGGTTGGAGAAAGGGAAGAAGGTTGTTTTCTGCCACGATTGTGGGTCTCAACTTCTTGAAGTTCCTCCTTCTCTCTTTGACCACCACAAAATATGGAGGATGAAGAGGGTGATGGGAACTGTGCTCTTGTTGGCCAAGGCGATGGTTAACTTGGGCATAGTTGCAGTAGTGGCCAAAATTGTGGAAACCTTTTGGGAAAAATGTATTTTTGAGGTTTGATGGCTAATAATACCATTTTTTATTTTTTGGGGGGAGTTTCAAGATAATCCTACTCCACTGCTTGAATGGCCTGGGAATAGCCCAGACCAGAGGTGGGTTCCAGCAGGTTCTGACCAGTTCTGGAGAACCGGTAATGGAAATTTTGAGTTGTTCAGTAGTAAAAATTCTGACCCCATCTATTCTCTGCCTCTCGAGTCCCAGCTGATCGGGAGGAAATGGGGATTTTGTAGTAACCTTCCCCTGGAGTGGGGTGGGAATGGAGATTTTACAGTATCCTTCCCCTGCCATGCCCAAGCCACACCCACCAAGCCATGCCACGCCCACTATGCCACACCCACAGAACCGATAGTAAAAAATGTCGAAACCCACCTTAAGCCCAGACTTTAACCCAATTGAAAATCTATGGAGCCGACTAAAGAAACTTGTTAGTCAGAAGCCACCCAGCAATAAAACCCGGTTAATAGAAGCCATCATTCAATCTTGGTTTCACATTATAACAGCTGCAGAACTCAAAGACTTGGTTCATTCCATGGGAAGATGTTGTAAGGCCGTCATTCATGCTAAAGGTTACCCAACGAAGTATTAACTGACATGGTGATAATTTTTGCAGATCTCGTTTTTTCTATGGTGGTCGTTTTTGTAGATCTCCTTTTTTCTACGTGTTTCCCTTTCCTTCTTTATACTGTCACTGCTATTCTAATAGCAAATCCTTCGTGAAAATTATTGCATGACATTCTTGATTAAATTATCTTTCCATTGACATATAATTTTATGACACTACTCCGATATAAAGTGGGTATTATTAGCTAGCTTTAGAAAATACACTTTTCCCAAAAGGTTTTTGCACAATTTTGGCCACTACTGTAGTAGAGGACAAGGTGAGAGAGCAGAAGGTATTATAGCTGGTCCTCTCGCCCTCCTTCCCTCATCTTTTCTACAGCTTCTATTGGGGAACAAGAAGAAGGAGAAGAAGACCAGATCCCACCTACCCAAGGTCTCAAGATGGTCACCTCTCTGCCTTGGTTATCTATACCCCTTACCCTCCCGACCATGGACCGAGCTTTTACACAATTGATAGAGGGGAAAAGGCTCATCCAACCTTTGGGCTGTCTCCACCGGAGGCATCCGTCTGCTGCTCCAAAGTAGCTTTCGCTGCGTATTCGGCAGCCAGTTGGAGGTCAGAGGTAACGTTGTGGGTAAAGCGATAACCTGAGGAACCAGCACCTCGAGGACTAGCCGGGCAGGAATTAGGGACACTGCAGGGAGGAAAGAGAGAGTTGTTAGGGTTGTTAACAACTGCTAATCATCATCTTCGTTTAACGGCCTCATAATTCCTTGCGGGGTGGAGTCTAGGCAACTGAATTGAACGAGCAGAATATTTACTGGCCGGATGCCCTTCCTGACACCAATGCGGAGTTTTGTTCAGCAGATATATTCTCATTGTGTCCAGCGAGAGAAATATCTGCCTCTACCTAGGATCGAACTCACAGCCTCCTGATTGTGAGGGCGAGAGCTCCACCTCTAGGCCACTGCACCCCTCCCGTTGTTAACTCTGCTAATGTTGGGTGCGAAAGATCAGGTCCACACAGGAAGGTCCAATTAAGATGATTTAGTGCTAGTCATGTCTATACACAGGAATTTTCTCAGCTAAGAGTTAGCATCTGCTTGGAGTTAAATCAGGGTCAATAGAATTCAAGGGAGGTTGGACTCCTTTGTGGCTACGTAAGGATTCTAAGCTGATTCCTCTTTTGACTCCACCCCAGGTTCTCCTATGTCTAGCCCAGGGGTCTGCAACCTTAAACACTCAAAGAGCCATTTGGACCCGTTTCCAACAGAAAAAAAAAACACAGGGAACCACAAAACCCTTTTCTCTCTTTCTCTCCCTCCCTCTCTGTATCTCTCTCTCTCTCTCTCTGTATCTATGTCACCTCCAGAACGAGGTGGTTGGATGGAGTCACTGAAGCAGTCGGCGTGAGCTTAAATGGACTCCAGAGGATGGTAGAGGACAGGAAGGCCTGGAGGAATGTTGTCCATGTGGGTCACGATGGGTCGGACACGATTTCACAACTAACAACAACAACATCTCACAAACCAGTGACTTTGGCCAGCACAGCCCGACAGCTAAAAACTTCCTAACAAGCTAAAAACAGTCAAACATAAATAAAACAAACATATAAACAATCAACCCAGCAGCCCAACCTATCACCTGAATGAGAAGAAGTAGGATTTCTTTTGGATCCCGCAAAAAAAGCAGACGAGAGCAACTTTTAAGAATTTCACCTAAAAATTGTTAATCGGCTTTTCTGCTGAAGGGCTCTCAAAAGACGGTTAAACACACTCACATCTCCGTCCAAAACAAGATTAAAACTGCAAGGTACGTTGATAAAACCGCAGATAAGGAACCTGTGGTTCTCCAGAAGTTTACTCAACTAGATTATTTCTAGCGAGGTCTTCTGTTTTTATACTGAATTACCGTCACGTGATTTCGTTAGGTTGAACAACAAATTCAACCTGAAAGAGAAACTAAGATCAACCTGCTGAAAGCTTAAGACCTTTGTAATGATTTGACCTCAGGTCCACTTCCTTCAAATCTAACATCAGAAGCCTACGAAGAAGCCTTCTCCTTTGGTTTCCTTCCCATTTATGAGAGGATTTCGAAGAATTTCAGACTGATATAGATGCAGGGAGAAAACATTGGTTGACCGAGCTCCAAAAACAAGGCTGTTTTTATCCTTAACATTAAAGAGTTTCCAGTTTGGAAGGCAAACTTCTAGATACCGCTGCAAATCTGAAAGGAAATGGTGGAATATTCCCTTTTTCCTTCTGCACAAGGTTCTAGAACAATGATGGCTCACCTTTTTTTCCTTGTGTGCTGAAGGCACACGCGTGCTATTGCGTGTGTGCCCACAGTCATAATGCAATGCCCCCCCACACGCCCCGGCCCCCTGCACATCTGTGTGCGATCCCCCGGGCCCCGTTTTGGGCCTAGCAGGCCTCCCTGAAGCCTCCAGAGGCCAGAAATGGCCTGTTTCTAGACTTCCGGTAGGCCTGTTTTTCGCCCTCCCCAGGCTCCGGAGGCTTTCCTGGAGCCTCCAGAGGGTGAAAACGGTCTCCTCTGGCCCTCCGTAGGCTGGAAACAACCCGTTTCTGGACTTCCGGGAGGCCTCAGCTGCCCGGCGCGCACAGAGGCGCGGTGGAGCTGGCCTAGGACAATGGCTCGCGTGCCTGCAGAGCTGGCTCTGCGTGCCATCTGTGGCACGTGTGCCATAGGTTCACCATCACGGTTCTAGAATGTTCCTTTTCTGGATTGATGGAGTTTGCCCATCCCTAATGGATGAAAATGGATCAGTAGTGGGTTTAAATTTCGTTCGCATCTCAGTTACATTGAAGTAATCTGCCAACCTCTGCTCCATCAAGAAGGTTGTGTTGTTTTGGGGGCACCAGAAAAACTTCATTTTGCCTTTTACCAGTACACTGGAGGCTTATTTCCAAAGAGTTGGCTAAGAGGTTAACAGAAACAACATACGATTTCGCTTGGGGTTGATCTTTAACTCATTGCTGATGGTAAACAGATGACCCTACCTCTCAAAGGTAGATTTTGTGTTTTCACAATAAACATTACAACTCAATGGTCCCTTCTGAGAACACACTGGGGAAATCACACCTTTTAATTTTTTTTTTTTTTAAATAATTTTAATAGCAGGACACAAAGGACAGCCAACGTCAATTGAGGAAAAAACGGCCATCGTGGAAAAAAAAGGAAGAAAAAAAAATATTGTTGGGGATTAAAGTCAACGTTAAAATAAAAAGCCTGTTTCAAACGTACATGTGATGTTAAAAGCTAAATCGCATTCCCAAGACCTCAAGCCATCATCCTAAATCAACAGATTTAAGTAATACACCCTGTTTGAGTCAAGCGTTCATGCGTTTATCTTCCCTGCATTCTTCAAATTTGCTTTATTATACCACAATGTCAATTTTTCATGTGATTTTGGATCCAAATGTAACTGCTTACTTACTATTAAAAGCCAAATATATCTATTAGCTGCCAAAACTGGCCTGGAAGGGAAACTACCTCTAAGATTATTTCAGTACAGTATTGCTTGTTTGTGTCCTAAACTATGGCTTGCTTAATCCCAGTTTGTTGAACATACTACCACCGTCTGGCTTCACACAATGGTTTTTGATCAATGCAGGAGCTCAGTTATTCCTCCTCAGGGTTGGCCCATAATAAATTGTGATCGATGGATTTTCAAAACGTTAAACTCTCACCGTTGCATAATTCACCTTACAAATTTGTAGCGGAGTTTAGATCTGTTGATGATTATCTTTATTGTCCGCCAGAAGTTAATGATTCAACCGAGGCTGGGGCGTAACAGGACAATGTTTAACCAGTTCAACTGAGTAGATCTTTTCAGATAGGTCAAAAACAGTTTGTTGGTTCACAACGGATCTTCAACCGAGTGGGTTCACCTGTTGCATTATCCCCTAATGTAGGTTTCTTAAGGTTTGGCTTTACAAACTATTGTTTGTGGCGTTGTGTGAACCCAACAAGATAGGTTGGATGCAAATCAACCACCCAAAACTTTGCATACAGGTGTCCCAACCGTCGCAACTTTTAAGACTTGGATGGATGTTCATCTTTATAACTCCGGGATGTCCAATCTTGGCAACTTGTAAGATTTGTGGACTGGCTGGGAGATTCTGGGAGTTGAAGTCCACAAGTCTTAATGTTGCCAAGGTTGGGACACACTCTGGCTTAGAGGACGCAAGCCTACATTTAGGAGAAGCCGCCAAATGTTGTCAAATTACAGTCTTTGTATTTTGTATCTTTCAATTTCTTGCTGATAAAAGGAGTATTACCAGGGATAAGGGCCACAAGAGGGCACTCACAGCTGCAAATCTAGAAGAAAACACAACATTGCCAAAAAACAACATAGAGGGAAAAAAATGGAATAAGTAAATGGCTGCTTAAGCTCTTCCAGGAAAACATGTTGTAGGAGGATTAAAAAGCAAGCAAGGCCAACGAATCAACCGTCACTAAGTGAACGGTTGCAAGTAGATTTGCAAAGAGCTGAGTGTTGCTGGAGTCAGAGTTTCTACAACCTTTGGCCTGAAGACGTGCAACTTTTGTGTTGTCTACCCAACAGTTTAGCTACTGGAAAAACAGGATGATAAATCAAATCCTAAACACAATCCAAAACTGACTGACACGACAACGGGTGCCTGGTTCTTTTTCCTTAACCTGGGAGCACTCCTGTTCTGCTGGAGATCCCCTCCCACAATTCCTCTTGGTCCTCGGTCCCTAGGAATTCTGGGAGTCGGAGTTCAACGCCTTCGGAAACCAGGTAGACAGAAGTAAAAGTTTAGTGATTGTTGGAAGTTCCAACGGCACTGAAAAGGGACTTAATAAGCAGTCCTCGCAGCTAGGACCTCCCCCACAGACTGGCGATCAATTTATTTAGGGTTATGGCCAGCGGTGGATTTCCAATATTCTTACCACTGGTTCGCTGCATGCGCGCAACTTACGCACATGGACCCAGCCTTCCGCAATGTGCTTTGCTCACTCGCGTGCCTTCCATGCATGTGCCCAGCCTCGGAAACGGGCGTAAACAAGACGGTATAGAGCTGGGGCGGGGGGGGCACCCCACCCGCGATCTCCACTACCGGTCCAGTACGAACCAACTGAATTATCACCTGTGGTTATGGCGTATCGTACACGGACCAGCAACGTATCTTTTGACCATTTCGTCCTTTTCATCAAATTTACGTCCTTAGTAAATTTGGCATGTAGTTAGGAGGCTTGCAGAATTCCTAGATCCCCATTTGCAATCTTCCCAGCCAGCTCCCAAGAAGCGAAGTCGATGGAGAAAGCTGGCTTCAGTTAAGGACTTGCGCCATTTGCTTTAAGAACCGTGGTTTTTTAAAAAAAGGTCACAAAACTCAGGCCCGACTCGTAAGTGCCTCGCTTAGCAACGGAAATTCTGGCTCCAAATCGTGGTCGAAAGTTGAGAATGATCTGTAATGGGGTACCCAGCAGGGGTGAAATCTACTTACTTTCCTTACCGATTCGGAAGTGCGTGCGCGTGTCATGTGCAATTTTGGGCTCTCTGCACATGTGCAAACCTTCTGAGAATACACAGAGAGTAAAAAACAGGTTACTTCCTGATTTTAACTATCCGGGTGTGTGGGTGGAGCCTAGTGCTCTCGCCGCTACCAGTTCTCTGAACTGGTGCGAACCGGCAGCATTTCACCC